GACCTATATAAGAGGCTAACAGCTATTAAGCACTAACTACAAGCCAGTAGTGTGATCAAAACTACATGGCCCTGACCAGATGCCTCAGTTGGTTGGAGCAGCGGGTCGCCAACCGGTGGTCCTCGGACCACTGGCGGTCTGTGAGGTCCGAAAGGTTGACGACCGTTGGGTTGGAGTGTCATCCCGATATGCCAAGGTTTCTGGTTCCATCCCCAGCCAGGGGACATACAAGAATCAACCAATGAAGGCATAAATAAGTGGAACAACAAATCGATATCTCTCTCTCCTTTCCTTTCTCTCTCTCCAAAATCAATTTTTTAAAAAACGTATGTCTGAATGTAACAACTTGCTTGAGTGCTTTTCACCAAGCAAAATAAAAAATACTGGTAAACGTGTGATTCAAAAAGTGGTATGACTGTTTAAAGCAGCGATTTTCAATGGTGTGCTGCAAGAATTTGGAGGGGACGGGACACACTACATACTGCTCTCCCTCTAACCCTAAAAGCAACACCAGGAAGGTATTCTACCATTCACACTTGACCAGTGGCGTATCTGAGACTAATAAAGGCTAACTTGCCCAAAGTCACAACGCTAGTAGGAAACAAGAGTGACGATTTAAACCCTGCAAACTAAGTTTGGGGCTCCCACTAATGCAGAGACACTGCCTGCATATGGAAACAGGATACTTCACTACTCACTCTGTCCATTGGGTAAAATCTGGAAGATGACTATTCCTGACTGAACTACAACAAGGCCTCTGGCCCATTTAAGGTCTATTCAGGGAAACCAAGTAAATAGGGAAGTGGGGCGGCACGCTGTCCCAGTCCTAGGGTCAAACAAACCGCGATACAACAGCTCTTTTTCTCACCTGCTGCCTCAGTTTCCCAAGCTCTCTCTGCATATCTTCTACAAGGGTCACTGCTTCCTCGCCGCTCTCCGGGTGCAGCTCCTGCACCCTGCTCTGGATCTCCTGGGGCAGGATGATCAGAAACTGCTCCAGCACCAGCAGCTCCAGGATCTGCTCCTTGGTGCGCATCTCAGGCCGCAGCCATCCATGGCAAAGTTCCTGGAGCCGGCTGAGGGCTTCCCGGGGCCCAGCGGCCTCTTGGAAGCGGAACCGTCTGAAGAGCAGGTGGGAGGCCTCCGGGCTGGGCCCCGGGTCCGGCGGGAGCAGCTCCTGGCTCCAGGCGCAGTCCTCCTCCAGTTTCACTATCAGGAGCCCTTCCCGATCCTGGGAGCCCGGGCCCGACGCCATCGTCAGGCCCCCGGAGTGCCCTACCCGGGAAACCAGCGGTGCCCGCCTGGAAAGGAGCCCCCAGCCTCGCACAGGGATGGCCGGCGTCAGCAGAAGCCCGAGGACCCTGGGCTTCAGGTCCCGGCCGAAGAGCCCGCTCTAGCCGGGCCGCAGCCGCCTCCGGCGCCTTGGCCTCTCAGTCGGTGCCAGGAGCCGCCGCGCCAGCCCTCGGCCCAGCCCTCCCCAGGGCCTCCCTAGGCCGGGACCTGGGCGCCGCGCTTCTCGCCGCGTCGCGAACTCACGCAGAACTCGGCGCCCCGCTCCCCCGCCGGAAGTCTCAGCGCGGGAGTTAGGCGTCCACGGCCAACGGCGCCAGCTGGGGACCCACCTCCAGGTGACGTTCTGCGAGCTACAGCGCCCATTGGTCCAGACCTCGCCACGGATTCACCGCCGACCAACCAGGAAGGGAGATTCATCTGCTGGGACGGGACGAGCGTGGGGCCAATTCAAGGCGAGAGGCGGAGTCATCCGACGGAGCCCCGACACCCTGGAGGTTCCTGGGGTTGGTCAAGGGAGAGGATGGCTTTGCTAAATAGATTTGTAAAAAATGGTCCTAAAGCGGGCGTGACCGGCGGGCCACGTGGGCCCGAATCCCCCGGAAGGTTTACTAAGATACAAACCCTCGAGCCACGCGAGATTCAATGCGTCAGAGTGTCGGGGTGGCTCGGAAATCTGAATTGTTAACACCCCTCCCCCCCCCCCCGAGAAATTCTTCACCCATAAGCCTATTTGAGAGTCACGGTCCCAGTCATGACGGATTAAAGGCGGTCTCCACCCGCTCCGGTAGTTCAGGGCTGCAGGAGAGGGAGCCATCTACCCCAACGGCACCGGAGGCTCCCGAGCCGGTGTCCACGAGCCCGCTCGGCCTCTCGGGGGGCCCGGAAGCGAGCTGCCCCGCCAGGTCGGCGTCCCCGCGGGGCCTGCCGGGAGGTGCGGCCAGTGGCGCTGCAGGTGACGGCGCCGACCCCGCGGTATGGGGGTTCGGGGCTGGTGGCCTGCGGCGGCCACCCGACTGTCCGGCGTCCAGTTTGGGGCGGCTGGATGGCCCGGAAGGCCGTTAGGGACTCGGCCCTGCGCTACCGGCTTCCTGTTTTAAACCATATTTTAAACTTGCCTGGAACGTGTTGTTCGTTGTCCAGCCCTGCGGGGGCGGGATCCTCTCTCCCTCCGCGCTCCGCCGTGAACTGTCGTGGTGAGAGGTGAATGGAAGCAAACCCGTCGGGTTGTCTTTCTGGCCAAGCAGTTGAGTTCTTTGTGCGGGTGAGGGGAGGGTGGCCCAGCTTCTCCATTCCCTCCGGCAGCGGGCAGGCCCGTGGGCTCAGGAGGTAGAAGCATAACAGGAGTGACTCGTGACAACCAGTTTATCGAGCGCCTGCGTACATGCAGCCGGAGACTCACAACACGCAGAACTGTAGCAAGTGTACACCGTTATGCGCCTGTTACAGATCCCGGCACCGCGGGTCAATAAGTCACTTGCCCAGGGTCGCACAGCTAGTCTGTCGCTGAAGTTAAAGCGACATGATGGTAAAGGATGATACGAGGATGCAGAGAAAAAGTACGGAATATATATATATAATTTTATTTCACTCCGGGGGAAAAAGTCAGGTCCACAAACTGTTGTGGCAAATGCAGATCCAGAGGCCTCCGTGCACTGGCAGGTTTAGGTCCATTTCAAAAAACCATATGACCTCAGAGTCCTCTAAGACCATTTTCATGTTTTAGAGATTTATATTTCAGGAGACTATAGAGTCTAACCTTATAACCAGTTCTCTGGCACTTACTATGTTATCTCAGACAAGTTATTAAATCTTGTTAAGTCCCAAACCTCAGTCCTCTCATCAGTTTTGAGGGGATAATTCTATACCCATTTTATAACATTGGATGAGGATTAAATAAGCTAACGTATAGGATGCTTAGAATGGTACCTAGCACTTAGTGTGAAAATAAATATTAACTGTTATTTTAAAAAATTAGCTGTGCCCTAGCCGGTTTGGCTCAGTGGATAGAGCATCACACACAGCTTGGGATGAAAGATGAATCATTTGCTATGTAAATTCCTTTTGATTTCAGGTTATTAATGGGTACTTAAAGCTAGATGGACTTTCAGAGTTACTCAAAATTACTTTTATTTTTTAAAATATATTTTATTGCCCGGCTGGCATAGCTCAGTGGTTGAGCATCGACCTATGAACCAGGAGGTTGCCGGTTCAATTCCCAGTCAGGGCACATGCCCGGGTTGAGGGCTCGATTCCCAGTGGAGGATGTGCAGCTGATCAGTGATTCTCTCTCATCATTGATGTCTCTATCTCTCTCTCCCTCTCCCTTCCTCTCTCTGTAATGAATAAAAACATATTTAAAAATATATATATATTTTTAATTTTTTTAAACACTTTATTTTGTGTCTTTTTAATTTAACTTTATTTTTTGAATATATTTTATTGATTTTTTACAGAGAGGCGGGGAGAGGGACAGACAATTAGAAACATCGATGAAAGAGAAACATCGATCAGCTGCCTCCTGCACACCCCCTACTGGGGATGTGCCCGCAACCAAGGTACATGCCCTTGACTGGAATCGAACCTGGGACCCTTGAGTCCGCAGGCTGACACTCTATCCACTGAGCCAAACCGGTTAGGGCTCAAAATTACTTTTAATATTCATCGGCCATTTCTTTGAGGCCCATCTGTATTCAGACAGAAAATAGCTGGTATTTGGGAGTGAGATTATAGGCCAGTATATCTATAGGGGTTCATTTAGGACAGAAGTTCTTAACCTACGGTCCATGAAATTCTAAAGCAGCACTGTCCAATAGAACTTAATGAGATATTGTCTTTTGAGTACTTAAAATGCAGCTCGTGTTGCTAAGTGCTGCCTTGTGGCTACCATATTAGTCAACGAAGTTCTAGAGGGTAGAGTGGATAGATTTAGAAATTCTGTCAACCTTTTTATATTGTATACAAAATTGCATGTGTATGTGTATTTTCTAAGATGTGGATCTATGACATTAAGTTCTCAAAACCACCAAAAAGATTACAAGCCATTCCGTTAGGGCTTTGGTGAAAAGTTAAGGGAGGTAAGTACGCCTTCTTGTAACCACTATTGATTCTACTTTCTTGTCCTCAGCTGTAGGTGGCTCCTTGACTATTACAAATAAAAACAAATTTGAATCTCAGATAAAGAACCGCTGCCAATCCCGGTCTTAGTTCTCATAAGTGCTAGATTCTGTCCCTAGAGCTGCTTTTAGTCTCCCAGGTCTTATATATTCCCTTGCACACAGGTGGGCAGTTGTCTGTGCCTGGTTTTCAAATTGACATTTGATGAAACCTAGCAGTAAGACTTTCAGGTCTGTTCTCTCTGGCATGGGAACAGACAAATGAGCAGTTCCTGTCTTTCTGAAATGCTGCTCACCTTAGGATAGTCTGACTTCCAGGCTTCTGCCACCCTAAGCCTTAGCTATTTGCTTTCCCCCCCAGTTTTGGTTTCTTCCCAGTTTACTTGACTACAACTTTCCTGTGATCGATGGCTTAGGATTTATTTTCAAGTGCACCATATTACTCTTTTTTTTATTGATTTTTTTACAGAGAGGAAGGGAGAGGGATAGAGAGTTAGAAACATCGATGAGAGAGAAACATCGACCAGCTGCCTCCTGCACACCTCCTACTGGGGATGTGCCCGCAACCAAGGTACATGCCCTTGACTGGAATCGAACCTGGGACCTTTCAGTCCGCAGGCCGACGCTCTATCCACTGAGCCAAACCGGTTTGGCACCATATTACTCTTTGATTCAACTCTTAGCTTTGAAATCCAATCATAAACAAAAGAATGACTATAAATGGCATTTCATTTGAAATGCATTTTATTTTTATTAATCTGAAATTATTGCCTTTTCTTCATGAAAATAATATAAAATAAGGCATTTTGCATCACTTCCTATATTTTAATAAAATGTTTTGGAATTTAAATTTGTCTTCACATTAATATCAACCAAACTAACTTACATTAATATTGTTTGTTAATGTTGACATTTTAACATTTTTCTCTATTTGAATCTTAAATCACTATTTACCAACCCACATGTTATTGCAGCCCACTAAACTTTGTCTGAGGAGAGGAGGGAGAAGAAAGGGACACATGAAAAGGGTGTAAACCATAACTGGTCTCAGTGAGGGAAGGAATGGTAGGACATGGAGGAAAATTGAGCTGGAGAAAATTTTACTAGTTGTCTTTAGATTGCTAGAAACACTGTTAGGTAGTTGTTTTCATTGATTCAGCTAAAAGAAACATATAACCCAGTTCAGATACCAACTTAAAACTTAAATTAATTTTAATTTTTATAATTTTATTGATTTCAGAGAGCAAGGGAGGGGACGAGAGAGATAGAAACCTCAATGAGAGAGAAGCATTGATCAGCTGCCTCCTGCACAACCCCCACTGGGGATTGAGCCCACAACCCGGGCATGTGCCCTTCACCAAAATCGAAACCGGGACCCTTCAGTCTGCAGGCTGACGCTCTATCTACTGGGCCAAACCAACTAGGGCCAGATATCAATTTTTATTTTAAAATCTCTTAACTGAAATTATCCAGAACATAATTCCCAAACTCTCACTTTTACCTTTATCTTCTCTTAGAACTCAGTAACCTAACTTAGATAATTCTATTGTCAAAATATTGTCCCGCCAGCATGGCTCAGTGGTTGAGCATTGACTTATGAACCAGGAGGTCAGGGTTCGATTCCTGGTCAGGGCACATGTCTGGGTTGCAGGCTCAATCCGTGGTGTGGGGCGTGCAGGAGGCAGCTGGTCAATGATTCTCTCTCATCATTGATGTTTCTATCTCTCCCTCTCCCTTCCTCTCTGAAATCAATAAAAAAATATTTTAAAAAATTTTTAAAACATAATGTAAGACTAATTTAGTGCATTACTATAACATAGAATTAATTCACTCCTATGGGAGCACAATAGCCTTGAATTAAGCACAAGAGGAGTTTTTCCGGCATTTTGGTTTTGTTTTAATATTGAAAAACTGCCTGGCAGAGGCTCCAGATAAAATAATCCTAAACAGGAGATAGATATAGAGGCTGTCTGCCCCAGAAATCAGCTTGAGTTCAGGCAAAACTGATGGTGATCCAAATATTATGCTTCCAGTCTTTCTTACAACCACGATTTCCAGTACCACATCCTGGCCTGAGCTTCCCAGTGAAGCATAGAGGTATCACATGTGTGAAGGGATTGCAGGATTCCAAGTAAATGAAACAATTATTTGACTTTGAAATAAGTCGTTGGATACGGGGGAAGAAAGAAAAGAAAAAATCAGCCTTAATTGGAGTAAAAGCTTTGGGATCAACATAGGTGTTTCTATCATCCCATTACTGGTTGAATACAACTCTTTCCCCTTGGAACAGGGTAACATATTCAATTTCTATTTCTTTTCTCAAGTTTTGAGATCAGGAGAGAAAGTAGAAGCAGAAAAAACTGCATCCATTCATTGTTCA